TAGTGTTTTTTGAACTTTCGGTTGCCAGGAGCTGGTGTTTCTGAACTAGCTGTTGCTAGGCGCTGATGTTTTTGAACTTTCGGTTGCCAGGGGCTGGTGTTTATGAACTTTCGGTTGCCAGGAGCTGGTGTTTCTGAGTTGTCACTTTAGCTGACATAAAGGAGTGGCATTTCGGTGATACCGAAACCAGTGTACACAGAAAACTACAACATTTATTAGGAACTCTTGTTGGAAAACTAACATTATCATTCAGAACACATTATACGAGTAACACGTGCATCATATATTTCTGGTGCTGTTTTTTTTTCTCACAAATATCAAGTGACTGTTTTTCCAATTTCAATACCTTCTATTTGACGTGATGACAATTAATAACAATAACATTCGACATGTTGGAATGAATTATCAAAATAAATATATATATATACTGAAGCATCTTTAGATTTTATTTGGTATTTAAAAGAATACGTGAAAAAAACAACAACAACTGCCTGACTATTGGTCAGCTAAGTATTCAAATGCACAAATTTCACTTAATACTCGGACAAGAAAACATCATCTAGAGGATGGGTTAATCAAAGAGTATTTATCCTCTGTCAAATATGTTTAAATATTATGTCAGTTTATTCATAAAAGCAAATACTCCACTAATATAAATTTGTTAGAGCCCCCCCCCCCCTCTAGTGGCACAGCGGTATGCCTGCGGACTTACAATGGGTTAATCAAAGAGTATTTATCCTCTGTCAAATATGTTTAAATATTATGTCAGTTTATTCATAAAAGCAAATACTCCACTAAAATAAATTTGTTAGAGCCCCCCCTAGTGGCACAGCGGTATGCCTGCGGACTTACAATGCTAGAAACCGGGTTTCGATACCCGTGATGGGCAGAGCACAGATAGCCCATTGTGTAGCTATGTGCTTATTAACAAACAAACAAACAACAGTGAATAAATTCCTTAAACACGTGATTTTTGGTATTTTCAACAGGAACGACACCTTATGCGACACTTGGGTTAAACGGCTAAGTCAGAGATCCCAGGTTGAGGTAACAAGTATGAGTGAAACAAGTCATCAACGCCCGCTAATTATAAGACCGAAAAGCGGAGTCGACTGTAACACGTATAATACCTCACGGTTTAAATTATAGAACGTGTTCAACACCATTTCGCGTCTCAAACCTCGAACCTTCCTGTACACTAACCAGTAGGTTACACCGCGTCCTTTATTTTACAATTAAACAGCCAAATGCTTGTTATGAAACAAGAAAATGTCTGTCTTTAAGTTAGACCCCCCTCCCCCCCCGGTGGCTCAGTGGTAAGTCTCAGGGCTTATAACGCTAACAGTCAGGTTTCGATACCCACGATGGTCATATCATAGATAGCTCATTGGGTAGCTTTGCGCTTAACAACACGCAAACCTTTAACCTTAAAGTATTCAGTTTTGTGAGATATAATTAAAATTGTATCTCCTATTTACCTTAAAGCATCGAGAGTAATGTCGTTAAACAAAAAGCATTATTTTTAATCCACATTAAAATACCCAGATTAAAATAGTATCTCTTCGTTTTGTTAAAACACTGGGATTAATATTGTACAATTAGAATCTTCCAACTGTTTCTGTGATTTACGTTCAAACAACATCCACCGTTGTCTTTAGGACAACCTAAGTCTAATTATTAGTTACCTAGTATTTTTTTAACAATAAGACCTAGTTTCGAATCCCACCTTCTTTTCCCACAACAAACAGTCATTTTCAAGACTTTCTTCAGGTGAGCAACTGAAACACAAGATATAAACTAATTATTGATTAGTATATAGTAATAAAAAAGTAACTTATTAATAATTAGACTTATGTAATCGTATAGGCCAATAATAGGCCCATTTATTACAATATCCAAATTGACACCATAAAACAAAAACTAAAAATAAATATTATTTTCTTTGAAAATTTCACAATAACCCTATAAAATGGAATTTGCACCTTTGATTGTTATTAACGTCTATACTGGCACCTTAAATTAAAATGGCTATTTGGTCTCATGCTTTTAGAAAAAATACTTAATTTAATAATTCTAACATTAATTCATGAATGCGAGGTAATCGGAAATATCCTTAGTTAAGTTTATCTGCACTTTCTTTGCGTCTGACATGTGTAGCAAAAATTATTTTGTTACAGCTCTCTTAAGGACTTGGTCCTTATTTTTACACCTCGTACATATGTGTGTAAAATGAACGGACACACCTATCCTCATAATACCAATAGTACCTAAATTTTCGACTATATCAGAAAAATACCCTCAACAACATTTCGAAAATTATAACTTCATTCCTAACAACGTTAGGGAGTTCAATTGTCTCAGGCTTCGGTTTGTGATAAAAACAACAAAGCTAAAATATTCCTCTTTAACGTATATAACAATAAAAAAATTGAAGACCACTTTTACTGTAATTAATTATTTTTATTTTGTTTTGAAATTTTCAGTATATCTTTAATTGTGTGTAAATATTATTCGTATTTGAAGTATAGGAAATATAGGTGTTTATGATGGTTTAAGAATAAGATTATCTTTCAAGTGAAAAGAAAGTATTAGACTGGTGTAAATATTGTTTTCTCACAATTAAATAAATGTTTGAAAAGAAATGGGAATACCCAATGAAGTTTTATGACATTCTTAACTTTTTATGCTATTAATTCTTGTAATAGCGCAGAGATGAAGATGTGGCAGATGGGGAAACAGATACACCACTACTCACAAATAAAAATTACAAATTTTGTTTTGAACAAAAAATACATTAAGGAAAAGTAAATGATACTGAAAAATGTCAATTTACATACAATCAACTATACTAACTAGCCACCAGTGGCTCGGCGGTTTTTGTGCTTAATAACGAAAGAAAGAAACAAGATATACTAATAAACATCTAACGATAGCCATAAAAAAGCTTAAAAATGTCAAAACTGAGTGATTGAACTACTTGTAAATTTTATTTTATCACAACAACAAACCAAAACAAAACAAAAAACAATATTAACTCCACTGCTTGACTTTTGAGGCTCACACCTATTAGCTGCACCAATTAGAAACAAACAACTGAATTGCCATCACTCCATTTCTTTTACGTGTATATTGAATCGGAAAAATCTGGGAGGACAACCAGCTGCTCAATAAGACTCGATGAACCAATACCGCTTAAACGCGCTATACACTTTGAGCAACAATCAAATCCAACTATTCTACCAGAAAGGAGTAACCCAATATTTTGCGGTCGGTAATATTTACAAGCTGTCTTCCCTCTATTAAGTTCAAAACTACAGACAGCTAGCCCAAATAACCCTTGTGTAGCTTTCCGCGAATATCCGAAAAAAAACAACAGGGATGGCTAGCCCAGATAGCCCTTGTATAGCTTTCGCGAATATTCGAAACAAACAAACAAATTAGGAGATAGAAACAGCCTAGATTGATATCGACGAATGTGTTGTGAAGTTACTAAGGTAACGATTGCAGATGGGCTGTGGTGGGCTTCTGAAATTAAAGTAAAACATAAATAGATAAATTTCGAAATATTTATCAGGTGTAATTTACAGAATACTAAAAGCTAAGTCTTAGGATTATTTCGTCTTATAATCATATATTTAATAATTATGGATTAAAATATTTATGGTTAAGTTTTCATACAATACAAAAGTTTTAAAACGCTTTTCTGTTCAAGTTGATGATCTTTTATTACAATAACTTTTAGCAGAAACTTTTATAATACTTAATTCTTCAAGGGCATTATTAGTCATGAAAAATGTTAGGTTACTGTTGACTGATAAAGTAAAACTAATGCAAATGTTGATATAGTGTAAACTAACACCAGATTAAGGTACCGTTGTGTAAGTAACTATAACCCTACGTGAAACTGAATTTATTCTTTGAAATAAAATATTTCCCCAAATTAAATTTATATATCCTTTTTTAAGGTTAAAGTTTAATTTTGAATAGACTTCTAACGCAGATTATTAAAAGAGCCACGTGGGTCTAAATCATTGCAGGGTCCAGTTTGTCTTTGAATTATTAAATGTTCAGTTTAATTAAATGGAGGCGATTTCCCACATTCTCTTTAATATGATAAATCAATTTACATTAAATGTTGTGATCGTCTTTTTTGAGGAGAAAAATAGTATTTTGGTAATAGTACAACATATTTCTTTAAAATTACCTAGAACATTTTTCATTTAGCTGCAGATGTGTTTAACTCTTGAAAAGTTAATACCAAGGATACGATATATGTTCCTTCTGTATGAACACTTCCTTGCTTTGTTCGAATATTGGACTTGAATAAAAAAAATTGAAGTCCAATACGTGTATAAAAAACAACAGGAAGCAATTTATATTGAAAAACAGGAGTGTGGGTAAGATGACAGGATTCACTTAACATATGTGAGAAGATGGATCGGGAGTTAGGATCCCTACTTTTAATGAATGTTTCACCCGTCGTTCTATGAAATTGAACTTATGTATGCCTTTGTTTCTTTCTTGGCTATTAAATAACTCTGTTCTCAGATTAATCAATTTAGAATAAACGCGTGCCATCAGGAAATCCTCAACCCCCCACCCGGTGGGCTTTTTAGGGTCTGAGGTTCGGAACCACCTGGCTGTTACTTCCGCTAGCCTATCACCATCAACTGGTTAATACTACAACATGAGCTACCTTCAGAGGATTCCTTTTGTTACCGCACATGTCTCTTACAGCTGCCGCAAGGAGCGCGCGTGATGCAGGTGTTTGTACAGTTAGCCAGAACTACGTATGTGTGTGTGTGAAGGCTCACTTATACGACGGTGACGTATATACCTAATCAGTGCACGACCACATGCCTGAGAGAAGCAGCTTCTGTGCTTTAGGATGGATGGTTAACAATCACAGGACATTTCGTCAGAAGCTCTTGAAAGAAGAGTTGCGATAGTTCACTGTATTACACTTCAGAAGCCACATGACATGAAACAGAAGACTACTAAGTGTTCTTAAGCCTAATGTGTGTTTACAAAGTTTATTTTAAACACGCCGTCAGTAAGCAGCTGAGTTAACTGGGTAATCCGTGATGGTGGGTGCCAGCTAAAGGAGCACGTGGTCATCAGTTGTTTCTCTGTAGAATTATTTACCCAAAACTGAAATTAGATGGACTTTATGCTTCTCCCCTTCTCCATACCTTACCCTGAATACTACCGGTACATGGATTTCTCCAGAGGAGGCATACCATGTAAGTTGGTAATTGTTAATTGTTCTTATTCTCAGTTACAAGTGTTGTATAATCTTTGATAAAAATCATCAAATTATTTGAATCAACATCAAACAGAAATGTGTTATTTTACGTTCGAAAATCGCGTTCTTAATTCATAATAATAGAACCGGCATTTGTAATTACATACTTACGTGTCATAAATCATCAAAATAAGTCAGTACTTTCATAAGTGCGTGCTTAGAAATACAAGTGTAAAAAATATGACTTTGAATAATATGATTCCCTAAAAACTTTATTTTTAAAAGCAAAAAATTTTTGCTTTTCAGTCTCACGTTGTTGTTTTTCTCACCAAAAACATTGAGAGAGTGGCGAGATAGAATTAAAAATTTTATTCGTTTTTTAAATATGTTTTCCAAAAACATAAAACGTTAGAAACCCCTCCATTTAAAATTATCAAGAAAACTATCATAGAAAGTACGTTGGATTAAAATTAAAAGTTGTTACCCATAAGGAGTAAAGTATTCCAGAAAAAAAAATCTTTCAATCTGTCACTCGTCTGTAAACATTCATTTCCTTTTATTAACAAAGAAACGAACATTTGATCCACCAGCTCCCTGGTGGTTTAGTGGTAAGGTTTACGGAATTATAACGCTAAAATTCGAGATTTGATTCCCGGGGGTGAACAAAGCGGGGATAGCCTATCTGTAGCTTTGCGCTAAAACACCCATACAATCAATTGAGCCACTAACTCTGCACAGTCTGGTGTCCAGTTGTTAAATGAATCGTTATATAATGGGAAATACCGAAATGTGTGGCTACGTCTTTAACATAAGAATGACTTGAAAGTTTGAAACAATATATCAGATTTCTAGTTGGTATTTAACGTGATTAATTCCTCTATTTACTTCTTTAGAATATTTCAGGGTTGAATAACATGATATTGGTACAGGGAGTCCGAAAAGCCTGGAATCATAAGCACTTCAACGAATTTTATAGAATGTGTTTCACATGCTGTCCTTGTAATTCGAAACAAGTTCGGAGTCGGCATTTCCACTTTATTTGAACACTGCAAAGAATATTCGTGTCATTGACAATGTTCAACACTGCCAGTCTCCTTAAATTTCGCTAGCAACTTACCAACAGCGCTGTCAGTGATGGTTTTTTCTCTCTCTCTGGATGGGGTGCATTAAGTCTGGCAGCAACCTTCAGTTGAGATCAACCTTCTCTGCTATACAGCAGGATCAACTCGACCTTCTCGTGCTTTGACAGCGCCACAATCAGTCACGTATCTGAACTAAGAAAAGTTGAAAATCACCTATGGTTCTAGACTTTTCGGCCACCCCGTTTATTCGATATGACAAACACCAGGGCGTTTCCTAAGGTAGCAAACTCTTAACCTGAAGTAATATTTGAGTGTTTTAATAAATTAGTACGGAATTTTATAATTTTCTTACCGGATATAAAATCTACAGTGTTTAATCTGCTTTCAGTGTGCTATAAGATACTTAAGAAATGTTATAGGTACTTTGACGTACTAATGATTCTTCATAATGTAGAGTGTTAACAATTATTATTTGTTTTTTGATTTCACGGCACTTTTTGGAAAAAAAAAGTCGAACATTTGTTTATACTACGTTGTTTTAAATTTTAATTTAAGAAACTTAAAATAGATTAGGTTGTTGTATTATAATTTCCTATATTTTTTCAAAGTTTGATTTTAAACAAATCGATAGTTTTCCTTTGACAAAAGAAATTATCAGAAATTGGAAATTTTATTTATACACTCGGTACCAAAAGGCCCCGCCCGGCATGGCCAGGTGGTTAGGGAGCTCGACACGTAATCTGCGGGTCGCGAGTTGTAATCCCCGTCCCACCAAACATGCTCGCCTTTTCAGCCGCGGGGGCGTTATAATGTGACGGTCAATCCTACTATTCGTTGGTATAAGAGTAGCCCAAGAGTTGGCGGTGGGTGGTGATGACTAGCTGCCTTCTCTCTAGTCTTACACTGCTAAATTAGGGACGGCTATCGCAGATAGCCCTCGTGTAGCTTTGCGCGAAATTCAAAAACAAACAAACAAACAAACCAAAAGGCCCACTCTATAGTTTTTGTGCTGTGGAAACAAAAACCGATTAATGAAGTATGATTACTTTTAATGTTATCATCTTGCCCCCAGTGGCACAGCAGTAAGTCTGCGGACTTATAACGCTAGAAACCGAGTTTCAATACTTGTGATGGATACAGCACAGATAGTACACACTGTAGCTTTGTGCTTAACTACAAACAAACTTTTTTATCGCCTAGTTTTTTTTCATTGTTCACTGTTACTGGAACTGCTTTAAATACACGATCGGTTGATATACTAAAGGATGCCTATCTAATTTCCTTACACAAAACGGTCATGTATATAAGGCGTTTTTATTTTTTGAATTGCAATGCATAGAAAGTTAATAGCCTGTGATATAAGTCAAATAATGATTTAATTTCCCCTCTAAAATAAATTCAAAATTTTGAGCTAATTCTAGATGATAAAATACTAGGTTTAGTATTATCTGTTCGTAGGAGGAATTGATCTTATGTTCTATTTAACGTATCACGTATTTCTTAGACAACTAATTTGTTTGTTTTGAATTTTATTTAATATCTATTTGGTTGACTTTGAACGTTATTGAACAACTTGTTTGTTAATTTTGGGTGTTACTTAACAACTGATTCTTTAATTTTTGATATTATTTAAAAGTTGCTTGGTAATCTTGAATGTTTTTCACCGCTGGTTTGTTGTTTTGAACTTTAGTTAACAACTAACTGGTTGATCATAAATGTTATTTAATCGCTGGTTGGTGGATTTGGGATATGACGGTTAACAACGGCTTCTCAGATATTTAATATTCAAGTTTCGGAAAATTCAAATAGTTATTACAAGTTAGGTATAACCTACACATCAAATTTTAGAGTGCGTCTAAAGGCTTACAAAAAAAAAGACATATAATGGACACATAACTTTTTAGTTAGACGGCCTAATTGAAAAGGAAAACAGTTAACAAGAATTATACCCGGATTGCTTTTTTGTACCAACTCTTTCAATTGATTTTATATCAGATATTTCATCTTTTGACCAGTCCTGATTGGTTCAATTTTGAAACAGTCGTCAATTTAAAAATACCTATTGTGGTATTATAAATAAAATGTTTTTGCACTGCACTGCCATGAAAATCATAACAACACGTTTACTAAAAAACAAACAAAAACAATTTCTGTCAACTTTGTTTATAATTAAGCACAAATCTATACAATGGGATATCTGTGCTCTGCCCACCACGGGTATCGAAACCTGGAATCTAGCGTTATAAGTCCGCAGACAAACCGCTGTGCCACGGGGGGGGGGGGCTATCAAGTTTGAGAAGACTTATGACCATTCTTTGCGCCACATGTAGGATTTACATGGCTATTTTGAATTTGTTTAATAATGTGTTTTTATATATATATTGATTTAATTTTCTTCTCATTACTAGTGAGTAGACCTCTGTTTTTAAACGACCTTCCTCGAGGGTCTCCTCGTGCATGTGTATAAGAAGTAGACAAGCGGAAGTTTCGAGAACTAATGTACTATATATTCGAGAACCAATAGTATATATTTCTTATTCTATAATTTATTATTTGGGCATTTTATACTTTTTAACAGTTGTCGTTCTTGGGGGCATATGTCATATAATATTTATAAGATATGTTTTGAAAGTGAAACAAATTTTACAATTCTGCCAGTGGAAAAAGGATGATAATTTTATAGTTTTGTCAGTGAAAAAGAAAAAAACGAAGGAGTTTTGTAGTTCTGTCGGTTTAAAAAAGGAGATAAACTTTAAGATCTATTAGGTCGTCAAGAAATTAATGTCGCGTTTTGGAACACTTTCATTAACCACACTCAAAAAACGTACATCACGTATAATAGTTAAACAAACCACCTAAACGTCACGTTAGTGTAGTCTATATAATGTGTAAAGTTTAGTACACTCTAATCCCTTTTGGTATGTAATGCTGTTTGAATACAAGAAAAGAAACAACGTCTCTGTAACCACAAAGAATATCAAAGAAATTTATGGAAATTTTTTGAACGTTCGTAAGTGTCAACGATGGTTCAGCATATTTCGTTCAGGTGACTTAAGCCTTAAAAACTGTGATGGCGGGTGCTGACATGTTGGAATTGATAGTGATGCTCTGAAGACTCTTGTTGAGTCTAACCCAAGGTAACACACACTCGTGAAATGGCCCTGAAATCGCATGTCTCTCATGAAACAATACATCTAAGGAATATGGGAAAACTCCATAAAGAAGGTGTTTGGGTGCCTCAAAAGCTTTCCG